TATATATATATCTTATGACCGATAAAAAATCACGTATCATATACGAATAATAATAATAGAAAAAAGATTCATTAAATAATATAGGAAGATATAAGAATATATTGAAGAATCGTCTAGGGTACGCGAGTGGCAATAATAATAATAAGAGCAATGATAAATAATATCAAATTTTATAACCGAAGAGAAAATCAACATATAATCGCAATATCAAAGAATCAGATTTTAATGAACAATTCTATCAAAAAAAAAAAAAAAAAAGCATAGAAAAATAATCCAAATAAAATCATATCCAATTTTCAAAAATTCTCCCAAAATCCATCCCTAATTCAGAAAATCTGCTCCGGAATTAACGTCTTTTTCTATAGAATTCTAAAATCAATTTTAGAATCTTAGCGAGCTCGTAATTTATATCAAGGGGATTTAATATTGGAGAGAGAGAATTGTCCGACGTGTTTCATATATCTAGGAATAGATCTTTTTACGTCCTTGCTTTGGAATAAAATCTATTCAGAAGATATAGAATCAATTATCATAACGACGAAGTTGTTCCATCATAACGACGAAATTGTTCCAGATCCAGAAATTACAAGAACGTAGAAATCCAATAAATCGCCAGCCATTCCCGGCTGAAAATATTCCTCGTAAGTTTAGATTTACGATTGGAATTCCATTAGGTCGGAGTATTAAGTCTCGGAGGATTGTAATAGATTTCATCTATAATTCTTCTATTGAAGAAATTTAATTATGAGTGGCGATTTAGCAAGTATCTTAATGGTGCCTGTTGCAAGCCAGGAATTGATGTCGCAAGCCGGTCGCGGAATGGCCGCCAAAGCATGTTGTTATAAACCGAGCCTCTTCATTCACTGCCAAGTCTGCACTGGATTCAACTACATTTTAGCATGTTGCTGCGCATCAACGCGAATCGTATGTCTTCCGCGTCGTGTCTACTTCACGTTGCAACGAACCATGAAAGCCATTTTCCGTCAGCCTGGAGACTGTGCGAAGTTTACATCTCCTGCGGTCTTCCGCCAGTGCGAAACAACTTTTGATCGTTTTGCCGGCGAAAGTCAAAGTAGAGGAAAAAGATTGAAAGCAGTGCGCAAACCTGCCCTCATCAAGAGGAAGCGGGAAGTGCCCACTCAACATGCATGCACTTGCGAGGATGCTGCGGCTTGCTGCTTCAGGCGTTGAAAGGTCATGTGATGCTGTAGCCACCATTAGGGATTTTCACGGTGCAATGCCCGATGCAGGCTGCCACTAAGCCTCTCGTCGCTCGTCCCAAACCACCGAGCAGGCCAACCAAAGAAGGTGACTGGTGTGCCTGGTGATGCCTAGGCGGTCCAACCTGCCACCAGCATGCATCATGCATAACAAGAATGTGGCTGTGGGGGCTGCTACAACGAGATTCTTCTGGGAACTAGAGCAAGGATCTATCAGAGTTGGTGCGCAGGGGCAGCGCAAGTTCGAGGCATTGCCCAAAAAACGCCAAGCCGACACCGATCGAGTTGAGGTTGTAGGGGGTATGGCTGAAATGTACCATTGGCAGTGGAGGATCCCTTGGTCTGCAGCCAGTGCGTGCGTGCGTGTGTGGACCGGCTGGGTAAACTGCCCTGTGTATGAGCTTGCGTCTCTAGCTCTATACCTCGGTGGGGGATTACAGGAGGAAGAGCTTCAGGTCCTGCGAAGCGAGCTGTCTTGCCAGGTGACCAATGCCAACCCAAGTTGGCCTCTGAATACCAATTATGCTGGCTTCGGCGGGCGGGCTGGTGCAGGTCCGGGTGGCGCAGTCTTGTAGCTTAGATTGAGGGGCCCAGCGTGTTGAACTGTTGCCGTAGCCTTGATGATATTTGCAGAAAGGCTGAGATGGTGGCAGGGAAGACAGTGTTAGGCTGAGTGCACCCGAGCGGATCCACTCACTCACGCACTCACTCACGCACTCACTCAGTCACTCACTCTCTGTAAGGGTCTATCTATTTGGCAGTCTATTCCAGCATCCTTGTGAAGAGAAAGCTATGAAGGACAAGGCGTCTGGGCACCTGAACCTTATCAACACCCGTCCCACTACGATCTCAAGTGCATGATGCTGAAAGCGGCAAGTGTGGAAACTGGAGCAAACAGCCTCATTCCGATCGGACAGGTCTGGGAAAGCAAGGTGTCTTGGGGTGAGCAAAAGTGAGCAAACTACCTCTGCTTCAGGCCTGCCAGGGGCCATGCAACATTACGAGTACCTGGCATAGACGAAGAGGACTACCCGTCTGAATCCAGCCACGCGGTTGCCGATGCGCCTTCCATCGCCTCCAGTGGCTTGTAGAAGGCTCTTTATCTTGTCCTGCATCCCATGCGGCTGGTGGTGCCAGCATCATATCTAGAACAAGGTCCTCTGGCCGCACCCCAAAGCGAGTTGCTCGATCATCTCCTGGTTAAAAAAGAGAGCGCAAATTTCCGCTTTGGGCACCTTCGATCTGACCTTGGCGACCGGAGGGGCCGCGACTTCCATGCGACATCTCCCACGCGGCAAAGAGTCCTGACTGCGTGGACAGCATCCGCTCCCAGACGAGCGCATGGAGCTGAGGCTGCTGCGGCCAGCGACCCACAAAGATGCAGTTGTTTCGACAGCTTGCTGACCGCTGCCTGCCTGTATCAAGCCCGACATCCAGCTGATTTTTCAGAGCAAGCAGACCTCTGCTCCAGCCGCCAGACAGAGCAAAGCCTGGCCAGTTACCCCACGGCTACATGCTCAAAAGCTGAATATCATCCCTGCCTACCCTTCTTGGATCTTGTGGAACAGCCCAGGGCCTTTCGCATAAGCTGTTCCAGCTGTCCGCTGTTTGTAAAGGCGATGCCTCCAAAAGCAGTATGCAGTCAGCTGCGCCGGCAGCCTGAACAGCGGCAGGCTGGGCGGGGTGCGAAGAAAGGGCTCACCGAAGTCAGCGCTGAGAGGGCAACTGCCATAAGAACACTTACTGCTTCAGAGTGCTCTCGGGCTGAAAGTCCCTGCCAACAACGCTCAGCCACTCTGGTGCCAAGTCAGAGTCCCAGAGTCACCTCCGCGAAGCCAGAGTCGCGAACGCCCAGCAAGTAGAAGGCTTTGCCGCTGCCTTGGCAGCGGGATTTGCCCCTCAGCCTTGAAGCTTCCAACATGTTGCAGTATGTTGCAGCTTAGGGCGAATGCCCTCCGCCAGACGAAACTTCATTTGCGTCCTCGCGGTAGGCAGCGCGTGTTTGCCGTCATCAGACTGGCCAACAGTGAGCCAGGGCCCGGACGCTAGTCTGTCCACCCGCCTGCGCGACTCTGGGGTTGCAAGCAAAGGTCTGCATGGCTTTCAGCTACGCGTGTGCTGCGCAGGTGTCAGCCTGTGGCTGTGCTCTGGGCCGAGACGCCACTTGTACTCGACACATCCTTGCTCGATTGAGCAAGGTATGCTACGCAGTGCATCGTGACACCTTAAGGAGGCGTATTCTCATTGTTTACCACGTCCGGCAGCTGGCATGTCGGTCCTTCGTCATTCTCCGGTGGCAACTCATCCCAGTCCATGCACTGTCCTCCCCAGACCGACCGTGTGAAACACAAGCAGCTTTGACACGCAAGATCGTCTACGACAAATGCTGTGCGAAGGACCTTGCAGCATGGCCGATAACTTTGGGCTAAAGTCATCACCGTCATCCTGACAGTTGCATTGCTTGGCGGTGTCTACTGTACACATTGAGCTATGCGGATCCCATCAAGACTGTACCTTTCAGAAGCTTATGCGTGAGAACTGAAACTGCATTCGAGAAAGGACTGGGCACGCAATGTAACAGACGCAGGGCCTCATTTGTTCGAAGGCAGAATGCGTCCAGCACATCAGGAAGATCTTGAACAGGCGCCATCGAGTATGAAACTAGATCCTTACACACCCGCTCCAGCCCCTCTATCACTTCCTGGTTCCTTATGACTGGGATGTCTACTGGGTGGATAGGTCCCTCCCTAAAAAACACTACACCTGCGCATGCAGGGCATTTGAGCCAAAGCGCGGGTTGGACACACGATGGCTGAATCAATTTCAGGGCCTTCGTGGCCATGAATGAGATGAACCATGATGAAACTCAAACGAAGAGAAAGTTACCAATAGCATATTCGCTCCACCGCTTTTAAGCGCTGATGACCGCTCATTATGCTGACAGCGCTGCATTGTTGCGGCTTGTGGGTTGGCGCAAACTGGTCCGGCGCAACAGTCCGTTAACACTGCTGCTTTTCACCCCGCACTTCCTGCAGAAAGATGCATAAGGGCGTCGGGTGCTGTACCAAAGTGCAGCATCGTGGTTGCACTATAGAACAGCTGGGGGCGAAAAGGACAATGATCACTTCAGCTTCGGAAAGAACGGCGTCTCGGAGCCTCAGGGCTGCTGCGGCTTCTCCCATTGCAAGAGGACAGTCAGGCGTTTGCAGGTAAGCGCAGGTCGAGCGCTGAAGGCGGCAAGGACCTGCAGGCCATACTCTCGTCTTGTCTACTGCTTCTTTGACGACTCATGTTTTCAGGCGATTGCTGGCCTGGCCTGCTGACTGTGTTGAGAAAGCTTGTTTTTCTTGCGCCTCTTAGACCTCAGCATGCGTGTACTTACAAACATGAGTGGAAGAACCCGCAGGTAAGGCGCAAATGAGATTCCAGCTTGCCTTTGGCATTGGCAGCCACTACCTTGAAAATTCAAGACACAGCCTTCACCTTCAGACTTCTTACTGCGGTGCTGCTGACCTTCTCCGCGTGCTCACGCGCTTCCTCTATCTCCTGTATCATCCGTGCCTCAGGGCAAGAAACTTCGTAGCTGACACCAGTGCAAGGAAGCCTCCAAGCAACCAGTCACGTGCAGCACGTAGTTTACCAAGGCGCTCCTGCTTCTCAACTATGAGTTATAGATGCAGGATCTCGTCACTGCAGTCTCTGTCGCTTCATAGCGCTTCCGCGTCATTATGAACAATATATCTCTTTGCCAGGGAAACCTGCACGCTGCTTCGCTGCGCAAGGCTAATTCTGAGCCAAGCACTCCATTCATCTTGGGCCTGCAGTTAACACAGTCTGACACGAAGATAAGACTGCTTCTGATGCTGTCAGTGACCCGAAATACTGTAGGAACTCCAGCAAACTGCCCAGATCCAGCTCGGGAAAAGGGATCCGCACTCAAAGTCACGTGTGTGAGCTGTGACGCTGTCTTGCCAAATTGCATGCATTGTCTGCATGAAAAGGTTTTGGTACTTGAGTGTGTTTCGCGATGCAGGAAGCCTTCGGAATTCGATTCTCCGTTCCATCTACCCCCCACTGCTTCAAGCTTGTTGCCTTGATGCGCCGGCTCCTGCGCAAAATCCCGCCTTTATCACTGACACCCTTCTGCCAAGTCTTTGCTTGCCTACCTACACTACCCACATTCCTGCATAGGCGCATGGTTTTAGCTTAAAACAGCAGGCCTGGGGCCTGATCTCGAAGCAAGCAGAGCCGCCTCAAAAATGCTTCAATGCTCAAAACGCACAGGAGATCCTCCTTTGGCCCTCAAAGCAACAGTCCACTCCAGCTTTCCAAGGAATTCCGAGGCAAAGGCCTTTCCCTGCACGCGAGCAGAGGAAGCAGCAGCAACGAAGGCGCGTCTTGCCTGAGGGCCTAGCACGCCAAGGCTTGCTTTTGGGGCTGCACCCTCCACTTGTTCGACAAAAAGGCTTCGGGAATGCTGGACTGCCACTTTCGGCTTGGAAGGTTTGGCGCAATCTGCAGAAGATGCGGCTTCCCTAGATTTGCTGTGCTCTCTTTCTGAGCCTTTGGCGGATTCGCACGAGTCATTTTGACGTTACTGGTACTCCACACAAACCAGTTTACACTGTTCACCTGCGACTTTGTCCCGAAGCAGTGCGCAAGATAGGCTCTGCGCTTATTCTGGTCATTATAAGTAACTTGAGTCTCTCCGCCCAAAAGCGCTGTCTGCTCAGCCATGAGGCCAGGCTCGGGACACCAGTGCGATCTGCATGCTCAAGAAGAGTTCTGTATCTTTGTATACATCCCTGGTTTGATGGGCATGTCTGGCACATCGGCTGCCAGTGACTCTAGTTTTGGACGGCGTCATTAAGGGTATCTGTTTGATGCATGATGGCGTCGCAATCGCCCTAAATTTCCGGCTTTTGTCTGTTGGCATTGCCCAGATTCACTCAAGCCGCCGTGCGCAGATTCAACACACATACTCTTACAAGTCTTTGCCCTCTCAACAAGCCCCCATGGCGGAGAAAGAGACAAAGTGGAAGAGCAACTGCACTGGACCCAAGCGATGATAAAATGGAAAGCACAAACAACCAGCAGCAGATAAAGTGTGGTGAGTTGCATTCGAAGGTAGTTGCACTCGCTCTGTGCTTCCACGAGCCTCCAGCTGCTGCTTCTAGAGGAGTCTTCGAGGCCTTTCTCTGCGATGATCCAAGCATGCAGGCTTGGAAATGTGGTCGTGCCTTCACTGCTCCTTGACCCCTTCCAGGCTTGTTTGCCTGCAAAGCAGGGCACTGTGCGAAACCGCAAACAACCCGAAGAAAGGTGCCAGGCCTTGCCGATGCGGCGCTTAACGCCCTTCAAGGGTGCTTGGCCTGATAGACAGTGGGCAGCTGACATGTTAAGCTGGCAATGTGCAAGGCTGACTGGGATCCGGTCTTGCATCTTCCCTCTGCCGTGCCGGCTTTGTGAGCTTGGCTTTGCCCATGGTGAACGTTAGGTGCACATCAGGCAATGCTTGAGTGAGACTCTCTCAATGTGAACGTTGTGACTTCTCTGCGTCTACGTTGCTATCCGCTTGCACATGTTTGGCATGTCGCGAAGTCAGATTCGAACAACGGCTCGTTGAAAGGCATAGCCTGCTTCACCTGTAAACAATTTAGAAGTGGGAGGTGCAACTGACATGCGACTTGCTTTGCTAAGAGCCGAAAGGCTTCACAACCTTGCGCAGCATGTTAACGCCTGAGACCGGATGTGTTTCAATCCAGCCGCCCCTGCGCAAGCATCATTTCGTGAGAGAGCTTCTTGAAATCTGGGCTGAAGATGCTTTGAGCCCATCGCTCGTCTACACTAGCGGAGCTGCTCGGAAGGCAGGTCAGGCCTCGGCCTGAGCTAAAGCGTTCCAATTTTTGTGCGGGCCTTGCTATGCTTCTCACGAATGCGGAACAGGCGCTTTTTGAGGCTTGGTCCCAGCCTGGCAGGTAGACTCAGATTAGAACTGCCAAACAATGCAAAGGTGCACCTCCTTCCAGCTCTGGGATACTTTGGCACGTCTTGCGACGACGGCAGTTGCCAATTCTCTGAGGAGGTCCTTTCCATCCATCCGCAAGCCCAAGCATAATTCAGAGCGCTGCCCGAATTTGAGTTCACCTCCGAGTCTAGCAGGTCTAGCTGCTTTCTTGTGGGCAGACTAGTGACTAGTGCCGTGATTAGCACCCTGAAGCCATCCTTGGTAGAATTGAAGTCCATGCAGGAGTCCGTCACCTCAGTTGAATCTTAAGCTCTAAGAGGTTAAAAGCTTCAGTGCTTGGAGCTACGCAGCTACGCCTTTGTTTGCTCCTGCCTCAACCTCCTTGATACAGTCTGCTGCAGCTGCTGCAGTGGCTCTGAGGCCCCCACGCTGCAGCCATATTTCAGATCTTGTAATCGGGTCACACCTTGCCACAAGCATTGCAGAACGCTATCCACCGCTTTCGCATAGAGACAGGCCTGGTTCCAACTTCTGGTTCCCGGCGACCAGGAAGCTTTCGATCAGAACCTTGGGACCAAGGCACATGCATGAGAAATGCAATGCTAGCTTCGGATTAGCAAATGGTTTCTGAATAGATAGAGCGAACTTCTGGCTGAACATGCCGCACGGATTAATGAAATGGGTACGGAATAGAACAAACTTTTAGCCAAATTGAGAACCGGAAATGAAAGGTCAATTGAAAGGTCCTGACACCCGCCCCCAAACAAGATTGCCGAAGTTTGATGGGGGTCCCCGGACTATTCAGTTCCTTTCCTTGTTTGGGGGGTATGAATCGCAACCCGGCTCTTGACGCTGTCATGGCGGGGCAGCGGCGAGTCATGGTACAAGCTTGAGTCAGCACTTGCTCACTGTGGCGAAGGGCTTGCCGCTACTGAGTATTGTTCAGTCCCAAGACTGCTTACACGAGTCATGAAGTTCCAACATCCTGACAAGAAGGCAATGCTCATCACGTATCGACTTTTACCTGCGAAGCTTTTGAGGTCCCTGCTCCGCCGATTGCTGTGTTGCCAGCAGCCACCTTGAAAGCTCTCCGAAACGCAAATGCAATGAAGGATTCCCCACATGTATGGACAGCTTGGGTCAAATCTGTCTGGTGAGAATTCAGCTAGCCCTGGCAGTGTCCCTTCTGCTGCCTGGTCGGCGACAGATCTGCACGCCACAACCTGCCGTCTGCAAAAGCTGTGGCTCGCCGTGCCAAGACGCATGTTTTGTCACCTCTCCCTCGTACTTTTTCCGGGAGTTGCCATGAGAGCCTGGCACAAGCAAGACTGCTACGTAGTGCTTCCAGAGCAGCCGGTGCCGTCTGCAAGCGCTGTGAGTCTGGACGACTTCTAAGTGCTGCGCAATCGATCATAATTTGCGCACCTCCTCAGCCAAATGGAGCAAATCCTCCAGGCTTCCGCCAGCCGTGGAGTCTGAAATGCTCTGCCCGGGCCCCTGGCGAAAGCCGGCCTTGTTCAACCGCTCCTTGGCCTCAGCGACGAAGGCTTCGCCTCAGAGGATGAGAGGAGAGGTGTCTCCCCGGGCACAGCGGGGGCAGGACGGTGAGGAGGGTACCAAAGTTTGGACCATCTTCACCACCACGCAGCACAATGTGCGAGTCAGGATTCCCATCGGCCTGATGCTTTTAGAAGCATGTGTTGCCACAGCAGGGACATTGTGGGATGGCCCACCTGGACGATTCGCACACGACCGCGGCTGTCTGGAGCTAGTTTCTTCTGAGGTGCTGATGCCGCAACAGCCGCGTTCACAGCATCTTGGATATCACCTGGACTCACAAGAGGCGCATCGGCCAGCTCCAACTCCTGTGAAAAACCCTTTACGCAAACACTCTTGATCTGTCTGTTTCTCCGTAACTTTGGAGTTGTAACCTTTCTCGGAAACATAATGCTCCACATGATCCTCTCTCCTTATCCGAACTATGTGTGCCGTCGGGCCAGGACTTTGCGAGGTAGATTCCACTGTGTTGTCTGAATTTGCATGGGCAAAAATGGAAATACGTACTGAGGCGGCATGGCATCATCTGCCTGAATGATTCCACCTCTTGTCGAAGATGCTTTTGACCCTGACGTGTTTTGGCCCACGAAACATTAGATGTTGATTGAGAAGCTCTTCCGCCTCCCGCGCTGGATAATCGGGCGAGCCTTTGGAAAGAATGAAGAACCCTTCTGAGTCTTCTAGTTTTGCGGTGGGATGTTCAAAGAGACCCACACTTTTACCGGAGATTGTGCGGCGGGATCTACGCTTTTTGCTTCTTTGTGTGTTTCTTGATTTCAGCAACTTGGCTGGACGCATTGCAACTCACAACCAGGGCACGTCCGATCCGGCGCACGGTTGGCAGCTGTAATGTATGCCAGGTTTTTGTGTAGGTCTCAGCCCTGAGAGTTCAGACTGAATAGTTGAGGGCTTCAAACTTGGGAAGCCCCGCCCCTACCGAAGCCTCCCCAGAACTGCATCCGAGGGGCCGCTGCGACTGTTCTTGAAGCCCATGGGCATTTTCAGGCTCGCTGCCAGGGCCCGGTGGATTGGGCTTTCGACGGTGCGGGCACCGATACTGCCGTACGTCACGGCATCCTCAATGTATGGGGCTACAAGCGGGTCCAGGAACTCCACCGCGGTCGGAAGCCCTAAAGCATTCATGTCCAGCAGCACGCGCCGTCCAAGTGCCAAGCCCCTCCCTAAGTCTTCAGCCCCAGAGAGGTCGGGATCACTGATCAAGCCTCTCCAGCCAACGCTAGTTCGTGGTTTTTCCAAGTATGTTCGCATGATGATCAGGAGATCTTCTTCAAACTCAACCTTCACTTCTCGCAGGCGACGAGCATAGTCGCGAGCAGCTTCAGGGTCATGAATCGAACATGGGCCGACAACCGCAATCAAGCGATCATCCCTGCCCTGCAAAATGGCAGCTGCCTCGGCCCGGCTTTCGTTGACCAGCCGCTTCAACGTGAAAGGCAGAGGAAAAGACCGAAACAGCTCGGCAGGGCTTTGCAGGCGCTTGAAGCTCCTCTCGAGACCAGATGGCGATGACGCCGTGCCGTTCAAGTGCCAGACGCTCAGCAGCAAGCAAAGGACTCCGGCAATGATGGTGCACGAGCACGCAGCGGAAGCATTGCGTCTGCGCGCTCCTCCTTCCTGCATCTTTATGTGTTTCCAGGCACGAGACTTACACAAGATAGTGTTGCAGAAAGCCGAATGCTCTACACGAGTGTGGCCTGTGGCAGGATTCGAGGCTTCAAAGCTTCTCAGACTAGGCTTGTCTAGATCGTACCGTGAGGCTTCAGCAAGGTCTGGTTGACAGCACAAGCTGCGGCATGACTTCTGACGTCTGCAACTTACACTGGCTAGGACTTGAGTATGGGACCAGGCACGTCCTGCAGCATGGGCAACCAGTATCATGCCTTTTGGCTCCAGGCAGCTGAATCTGGTGATGGGGCATTAGGCCCTGTAAGAATCCTCGCGGTAACTGAAATCTTGCATGTCATCATCATCCTCATCCTGCAGCAGCCGTGGCCTTCGCTTGAAAACAGTGCCCTGAGTACAGAAAACAGAGGCTGCGCAAGCAGAACCTATGACTGCCAAGGAAGCGCCAACGATCACCATCATGGTCTGGTGTTTCCAAGCATAGCTCGTCACACCTGACTCAACTTGGCGAAGAGCCGCCATGCCACTACCAGCCCCTTTCGGTACACAGGCCCCGCTCTGAAATTCGTACTTGTGGAAACACAGAGAGCAATTCCTTCCTTCGCATGCTGCGCAGTGAGGATCCAAACAGCGAGTGCATCGCCCTGTAGCGGAACTCCCATAGAAACCCTCGTTGCAAATATCCGTGCAAGCTCTGCTGGAGCCGTCGAAGAAGCGCCGCTCTTCAGAGCAGCCAGGCCTTTGAACCGTGAAAAAATAGTTTGTTGCCTGAGACCTGTCAGCAGACGTAACTCCGAGCTGCACCACACGGCTGTGGCCAACATCCAGCGTCGTCGTTAACATCGACGTAACTCGCTGAGCTTCTCCAAGAGTGTTAGTCTTTCTAGGTGCCTCTGGGAGGGTTTGCAGGCGCCTGGCTTCCACATGAGTTCCAGCAAACTCCAATTCTGCCGTCATTTCAATGGCCTGCCCATTGTCAAGCTTGATAGAATTGAATCTCACCAGATCCTCCTCCAAGTCTAGAAACACAGTGTACTCCCTGACATCCGGCTTCCAACCCGGCACAAGATAGGCTCCAGATACAGAAACATGCCTTAGCTCAGTTTCAGCACCTGCGAGACGAGAAACGTTTACCAGGTATCTGAGCGACTTTAGGCTGGTGAGCCCTTCCTGCCGTGCTTCCACGAAGACTTCTGACAAGGTCGAATCACCAGGATCCAGCATAATAGCTGCTGTGCTCATCTGACTGACTTGGCAGGCATCGGGAGGACTGGCCGTGGCTTGGATATGAAAACCCGCCATGCTGTAGTCCAGTGTTGCTTCAAAGGCCTGCATCTGCCCCGGCACTGGGCGCACATCGATGGGCTGCGCTGCTCCATCATCATCAGCCAGTGAGTGCAGAAAGAGATTTGCCAAATGGCACTTGGCTTCTGCATTTGCTGTCTGGATGTTATCTCGCGGGGTGAGAGCCTCGAATTCATCTCCTCCCATTGCAGCGATGCGAAGGCACAGCCACCCCCACAAGTGTAGGGCACACAAGCACATGCTGGACGTGCCCAGCATCTGCTTGCTTGCGCTTGCTTAGATATCTCGCAAAACTTCTGGTGCTCTGGCCCCTGTGCACCATGACTCAGATGCAGGCATCTGCCATGGCGTGATCATGAGATAGGGTTGACGGGGTGTCCTACTTTTTAAACGGCATGCAATGAAGAGTCTAGCAGAACATTGGCCATAAGCTTACACTATTCAAGAATTGCTGCTAAGTTTCAGTCAATACGACTGAAAGTGTTACTCTAAACCTAGGGTTCAGGTGGTGACCCATTCTGCACAATCTCGGGAGGGGCTTCTTCACATTATGCTCGATCTCTAGAACAAGCTCATGCTCAAACTATTCGGTCCTGCCGGCCAAATGCTGACATCAATGAATCCTTGCAAGCGGCGAGCGGCAAGTAATGGGGGGTTCAATCCCCTGCCTCCCCCTAACAAATACGATTCTAAATATTCCGGGGTCGCCTAATCAAATTTCGGAAGATTTGTTTCGGGGTGTCCCAGCCCTACACCCTAAGCCCTGAACTCTAAACCCTAAACCCTGAACCTAGAACCATCAACCCTGAACCCCGAAACCTCAAACCACTATTACGTCCCGCCGGTCTCGGTATAGTGCCCCAAAGCAGGAAGGATGGCCTAGGCTGTTGGAAAAAGCTGTCTTACAAGAAATAAAAGGTTTCTGGCGCGCTCAAAAGCTGAGAATCGGAATGGAATTGGTTTCTGGCCAAAAAGCTTTAAGTAGGTTTGAGATCTATAGGCCTAAGGCCTAGCATATAATTTATATGTGCAAAAAACACCTTATTCTTGCTTTCCAGATTCTGGGGTCCATGCCAGCCAGGGCCCCCATGCCCGGCTTAATGGCCATTATTCCGTTCCGGTCTCGGTATACTACCCCTCAGCAGGCTGCTGGAATAAGCTGTCTGAAGAAATCGATAGTTTCTTGCGCTCTCAAAAGCTGAGAATTGGAACGGAATTGGTTTCTGGCCAAAAAGCTTGAATTGGGTTTGAGATCCATAGGCCTAAGGCTCAGCATGTATCTGCAATTTAAATCCGTATTCTTCTTTTGCAGATTCTGGGGTCCATGCTGGGCCCTGATTTTTCCGTACCCTTTTCAATGGCCATTATTCNNTATAAGAAATCGATGGTTTCTGGCAAGGTCCGAAATCAATAGACACGATTTTGCAGAACTCTCGAAAGTGCTCCAAGGATATTCTTTATCAGTTGCTACTTAATTAGGGGTTCGGTTGCTTAGATTGCCTGGCTTCTCTGGATTTCTTCTCTGTCTTTTTTTTCTCTGTGTGGCCGATTCCAGAACCGAGCATGGAATTATTTGGTTCTTGCATTGTTATGAATCCGTTCAGACCAAATTTCGCTCTAATCCGTACCCATTTACATTATTCCGTTCAGGCCTAATTTCGCTGTAATATGACCACCTTTAATAAAGCTGAACCCCCCCTTACAGCCAAAAGGCAGCTGCCACACATCTTCGAGTGACATTCAGCATGCCAATATCTCGACAATCTAGGTTTTCCAGCAATGGCACAACAACCAGCACGCCCCGGCACCCGCGTTTTGCAGGTGTCTGGGAAGAGCAGCGAACATTAACAGAATACCACCTAGGCATGGAGATTTCAGCAACTGGCTGTTGGCTGCGAAGCATAGTACGATGCTCTCTGTGCCACACCACAACCACAAGCCTACAACACACAACAGCTTCAAGTAGCTTCCATCTTCCTAGCCCTCAGCTGGTGGGTCCTTTGGCAACGCTGCTGGAGCAGGCGCTACTGTTTCCTCAGTACCATGACCAGTCTGACCTCGGAGCCCCCGCAAGCTCTGGTAGGACACTGTTCGATCAAACTTGGGCGCTGGAAGCACGCAGGGAAGGATGAGAGATGGATCTGGAAACCGTCTGCAGCAACTTTCAAGCCCGAGCCTCTCTCGTGGAGTGGAACTTTGTCCAGGTTAGCCTTCAGCATGTGCTCATTTGAAATACTTCTCGGTGACACCCAGCTGCTTATGCCTCGATGAACTTCTCCTCGGCAGCTCGCCGAATCTCAGGCCTGTCTTGTTCAACTGAGGGCATGACCATGCAGGAGATTCCACTCTGTTTGACACGATGCTAATTCAAACGCGCGTTGAGCTTGCACTTGTTCATGGGGAGGGGCCAAGGCGAGATTCGTCAAGGCCATTTGCATCCTTCGAGGTGAAACTCTGGTGGCAGGTCTGCCGCGTATGTATGTACAAGTTTAAGCCAAGGATTGGCTCAAGGGTCCACTACGTGTTGGCAAAAGCTAGTGCAGCCTGGCGCCAAATGTCATCCCGGTTCAAGGTGCATCCTGTGATACGGAAACACAATTTGTTGGCCAAAGCTTTGCCAGACAAAGCTGCGTGCACTCTACCCAACCTCGCCATCCTCTGTGTCGGATGCTTGTGGCACGAACGGAGACATGTTTGCCACTTCAGCAGCTGAAGCTGCCTTGGCAGCAGACTTGGCGGCAGAGACGCAACGGCCAACCATGCCCAAATAGTCCGACATATGTGTCTGAGGTCCAAACAGGATCGGCGCTCGAACTGGCGCCTGTTGCCAAACCCGTACGATGCTTGCCTACCAAGACTGTGGGCGACTGCCGCCTGACGTCACTGCAAGCAGCGGCTGCGTCTCTGATGTCTGCGTCGAAGTTGGCGGAGGATGCGAAACCAAGTTGCCTTGGCAAGGGTGAGTTCTGTCTGGAAAATACATGAAAATACTATATGCATACATATATATATAGAGAGTGCGACGGCGTGGAGGGCTGGTTTTCTCGAGTAAACGTGCCTTTTTTCTTCAATTTTCATATGGTTTTGACGATTACCCTATTGGGGAAGATATCCAGATTGTTGATAAGAATTTCTATCGGAGATAGAGATTCAGGGATAAGGCCTGCATACGAAGATATTATCTCATATAGAAGA